GTTTGGGCTAGTTAGGACGTAATCATTTATTTATAATTGGGCTGTTTGCGTGAAGCCCAGAATCGAGTTAAAATCTTATTTCTGATAATGCAATTGCCCCGCTAGGCAAGTGAGTTTTTTAGATGTTTGTCTAAAACTTTATTGTAATTTACTGTAGAAGTTGTAGAAAAAATTTTTGAAGCATGTAAATTTTTGAATATTTTGAAATATATAGTTTAAAAATTATCGTGGCATCAAACTACCTTCATGCTGACAAGATTTTCCTTCATGCTGGACAAGATTACAACCACATGAGGAGCACATGATTTTTTTTTTTTTTTTTTTTGTGGAAACTAAGGTATAAAATGCATAAGAAATAAGCAAAATCAGAAAACAAATTTGTCGATTTGCAAAGAAAATGAACTACTTCTTTTAGCTGTAACCAGAAGAGTTTTCAATCATTTTTGGAATCATGTTTTGTGAGAGTTAAGAATCTTGTCCAGAACTTGAAATCTTGTTGGGACCATTAATTGTCAGGAGTTAGAATCCTTGTTGCTTAATCCCTCCCAAATGACAAAGCATAAAGCAGTGAGATCCTCTCCATTACTTTTCTATGTTTTTTTTTTTTTGGGGGTAATAGAATCTTCATGAAAGGAAAATGGATGGATTTCAGTATTTAAATAGAGTGAACAGATCCTTTTGCTGGTTGCTTGAGGGCAATTTGTTCACAAGGATTTAGCATTCTGAGAATTTTTGAATTAGCAAACTTGAAGTCAATGGAGGGCAAAATCAATATTGTTTTTTAAGTTGGGACAATAAACTGCAACTGAGCTGCTTCTGCACAAGTTTTGGGGTATTTGCTGCATTTAATACTAATCTTAAAATGTGATTAATAGGGCTGTTAATTTGCCCCAATTTAAATGCAAGCTTAAGGTAAGGTTGCACAAAGTCAGCACACTAAAATCTTTGCTTGAGTTGTGTATAAATATACATAACCACACATAATAGACTATTTATGTGGAGGATTCTATTAGCAACATCTAGTCTTCTTTCTTTATGCTCACAACTCCAACAATTAACTCTTCTCTCTACTGTCTACGTACATTCACAAACTACATTTTCTTTTTCTTTTTCTTGAACCTAAATTTTAATTTTCTCAAATTTCAAGAAAAAGGCATCAAGAAGACATTAGTTGTTTATTTGATTCTTAACAATTGAGGTAAGATTTTCATCTTCTCTATTTTGTATTTGTGTTTGTTGATTTTTTTTTTTTTTTTATTGCCAACTTCAAAAGATAGAGTTGTGGTTTGAAATTTGTTATATAAGACATAAAAACATGGTTGAAGAGGTGATCAGCTTACACCGTCAATTCGTAAAGAATTTCAAATCAGTTTTTAGGATTTAACACATTGCTTACAATTGGTTGAAGAGGCATGCCTAATTGTTGCTCTGGACCAGCATAAAATTTTTCCCTGCATGATAGATCTTTGTTGTTTTGGTTAAGCGTGAAGTCTGAAGAAATCTTTCACTGTTTGACCAATTTATAAGGATACAGTTAGAGTAAATTCTTAAATTGTGATAAAAAAAAGTTTTTCTACAAGAGGGGTTGATTTTGGGGCTGATTCTAAGAGTGGAATCTTCGCATTTGATAAATGCGAGATTCATGTTTTTTTTAAAAAAAATGATTAAGATTTTTGGTTTTTTTTTTTTGAAAAAAAGAAGTGCCAAAAGCTCGCATTTTAACAAATGCGAGGTCTAAAGCAATTTTTTTTTTGGATTTTTGCAAGTCAGAAATTTAATGATAAATCAGATCTGTGAAATGCGAACTCAGTGAGCTTGCATTTTGCAAATGCGAACATCACTTGACGGAATGCTATAGTCAAAAAAGCCCTATCAGTAGAAAAATTTAAAATTTCATCATAAAATTAGGAATTTCTCGATACAGTTAGCCTGTCGAGTATCCATAAACACATGTTTCTTTTGAATTAGTATATAGGTTGCAATTAATGGACCTTTAGAACTGAATTTTAAATTGTAAAGGTTTAGCGTGGGGTGACAAGTTTATGATCTCTATAAGCTTAATATGCTAGCCTCTTATTCGCAATAGGCATTTGATTTTGGTTTAACTAGCAAAAATGAGCTAATGGCATTATGGGTCGACTCAAAGGGATCATTAATCATATAATGAACCTTTGTACTTGGAAAAGTTACAACGCACCCCCAACACTATTAACTTCTTTTTAGAATAAGCAAATTATGTGGTAGAGCAAATTTAAGTACCCCCATTGTTTGTTAGCAAGAAACTAATTGCATATCTAAAATCCTTTATTTTTCACTTAAAGTTCAAATTCAGGACTAAGCCAGATGATTCTCTTAGCTACAAAACAATTCCATCCTATATGGTAGGTCAAAATTTCTTTTCTTTCCTTCAAAATTTTTGAAATAAGAATCACAAGTTCTTGTTGAAAATAAAATACAGAAAAGAATAAATAAATGATGAGACGAAGTTGGGAGGTATGATTCTTGCTTTATGGGAAGCAAGCACTAAGAAGCAAACTTCAATTTGCACCATTGCCGGGATTTGAAGTCCATTGTGCACATTAATTTCCTGTATCGGTCAAAAAAAAAGCCATTACTGAGATTTGAAGTTGGTGGATGGCCAGCATCTCCGACGAACCAACAGGCATGAAGACAAATCTTATGTGTTACATTTAACTATATTTAATTAATATTAGTTTGTTATATTTAATTAGTAGTAATTTGTTTGCTAGTTGATTACATATAAGTAGTGTGAATTTATTACATTGATTAGTATTTGAATTAGTTAAATTAGTAATAGCTTATTAATGAATAGTGTTCATGTTTAGGATTTACAAGTTTTTACGTCTTAATGTTTAGGATTAGGGTTTATAAATTAGGATTTAGGGTTTAGTTATTAGAGTTTAGGGTTTCATTAAAAAAAATTTGATTATCGCCGCCTGCACTAATTAATAAAAAAAAAAAAAATCCAATTGCGGAATGGAAAATGAAAAGGAAAAAAAAATTATTTTTTGGTAGCCAATAATTTCAAATGTGACGACCCTTCTACTGTCATGAATCCTAAAACAACGTCACTTCTTCGACTTTTTCTCTTCTTAACATTATTTATAGAAATTCGCCCTCAAATAGTCCAAGTCTTACCTATCCCACCTCATTTTCTATCTTTACAACCACTTTGCCATCCCACCCTTATCCCACAGCGCCGTTCTCATCCAATGGCTATAAAAAATAAAACAAAGGTGCAACTCGTCCATTCACGCCAAAAAATAAAACTAAGGGTTTTGGTTGCAATTTAGTATGCAAATCCAATGGCTATAAGGCCATTCCATAACTGAGATAAGTCACCTACCATCTAGCATTTTTTGGTACCTTGCCCCATTTTAACAAAAGACTACTATTTTCAACTTCTTTCCTATTTATTAAACTCCTTTGTTTAAAAACAGAAAGAAGGAAAAAACAAAGAATGGCAACGCAAAGAGTAGAGAGAGGATGAGATGGATGGGAATCAAATCATATTCCTGAGGTTGGAGATAAAGACTCTGAACTAGTAGACTGCATCAGACTCCCAAGACAGGAACTAGTATCTTATGTCTGAGTCAAAAATTAAACTCTATCTGATCAATCCTAAAGTAAAATAATGACCAATAATAACACCAAGTTGTGAGTGAATTTAGCAAATTTCTTTGTTGTTTGGCGATATTGTAATATGTTAGAATTCTTATATCATATTTCTATCTTAAGTTGCCAAAACGTCTTTATTCATTTCACTTTCGACACAATTATAATCGGTTACACTTCTTTTTATGGTATTTCTATTTTAACTTGGCACAATTTGTGTCTAAACATTTCCCTACGTAGTGCTTAGGAGTTAGGATAAATTTTAAAGCCAAATTAATGTTACCAATGATCAATGAATATGCATGTCGAAACCGAAGGCAACTGCTTAATCCTGGAGGAGTAGATAAAACGGCAGGGTGGACTTCGGGTGGGTTTTGAATGTATTCATGGAAAATAGGCGTTACTTCTTCTACCTATTTTGTTGATAGGTTAATTGGCAGAAATACTAAATGAAAAAAAAAAATCATAACTTACTTCTTGAAAATGAAATAGAGAAAAGAATAGTTAAAGGAGTTGAGAGAGAGGTTTGGCACCTGCTCTTTGGGAAGAAAGCACCTGCAAGCAAACATCAATTTTCAGTATTTTTATCTACTTGTAATTTGCACAAATATGGATGGTAATACATACATATACATACAAATGTACATATTCATGCAGAGATAGAGATGTGCAGGGTACGTGCCGTGGGGGCAGGGATGGGTTGAGCGGTACGAAGGGAAAGCAGTGTAAGTAAGAATTTTCGAGTTTAAAACATCCCAATTATACAAAAAAAAAAACCGTACGTTCCGTGGAGAAAAAGAGAAAGGTGGTTAGTTAGATATGTGCAGAATTTGCACGCTGGATAAAGAGAAAGGTTTGTGCGAATTGGAGTGTAATGTGTGTATAAATACGCACGCTTTAGTGTGCAGGTTTCGTTGTTTCACATTTTTGCTTTGTATCTTTTCCACTTGCTGTTAAAAATTGAATTATTCTCATCATGTTAACTAATGAGCATTTTCTCCAATTATTTTTGAGGCATCATCCTATCCCAATTGTGGCCTAAACATTTTGTACATTATCTGGAATTGGAATAGCAGGAGGATAACATGAATGAGCTATTCTCTTTTAATTCTACCTCTCCAGTCCCCATCATGACTACTTACAACGGGTTGCTTTTCTTCAGGTTTTGCAGGTGCTTCTTGTTCTAGGAAGTATAAAGTCGTGCACTTCTACCTCGACAGCGGGATAGGTGGACGCAAAATATTGACTGTCAATGTTGATAAATGTTGGAGACGACTTGGTGTCAGATAGAAGTTCATTTGGAAAATTACGAGAGTACAATGCTTCACCATTAGTTACTACTTCTGAACCCTGCAGTCTGCTAATTGGTAATGCCAGAATGTTACGAGATCATGTGCCATTTTTTGTTCTTTTGGGCGAGTACCCATTACCGCTGTAATGAAAGCCTCACAATAGGCAAATTGGAGCAAGAATGATAATTCCTATCTATACAAAAATGCAGCTCTTAAGAGGTGCAAACATTGATCCCAATCTGCGATAATATACTCTCATCCACTCTTTATATGTCTGAATAATGATTCAGCTCATACAAAATGTTATAACAAAGGGTCCATATACAGAATGGTGAGGGTGCATGTCCCAGTGCTTTATCTTCCATCAGTTGCCTAAGTGCGACTCTTTCTGGATATTGACAAGCAAAGATCATTTACTTGAACAAGTGTGCCAGATCAGGGTCATCCAGGTCTACATCCAACCATCCATTCAGACGCATGTACTCAATGTAATGCTCTGGTGGCTCTATGGCTCGAGGGTTTCTTGGAGCAATGCCATGAATCCTCTCGAGATCTCGAAAAAGCCAGCGAGCATAGGCTTGATCTATAGGAGGCACAATCTTCAACAGCACTTCTTCCTTCTGTGGCTTTACAGACTTTGCTTGCTTGTTTCCCATGATCAACCTGCTCAACTTCAAGTGTCGGTCAGAACAAACAGAATCGTTCCACAATCATGAATTCTTGATAACCAATAGGAAAAGGTAATCATTCATAATCGTAACACACAAAAACAAAATGGAGAAATGTAACCAGGAACTAAAGCATGAATTGTTTGCAAAGTTCTTAGTAATAAAAGATTCTTGAAGCCTAGGCTTGTAAGGCATCAGAGTTTTGTTCATTCACTGAAATGTTAAGAAATAAAACAGCTGTTAAAGGTTAACCTCCAACCCAGCAAAACACGCCACAATTGGTATTTGTACTCAGGATATGCATAGAGACATGTTGAAATTTGGTCAAAATTTTCAAGGCCTTTCCTAAACTGTTTTTGCCTCCTTTTTATACACTATCAAAGAACATTCAGTGATACCACAGCATGTGAGTTAAAGAATGCACTAAGAGGCAACTATGCAGTCGTTCCATCTATTTTTTTTTTCAGAGAATTTGGCTAATCAGGACATCAAAAAAGTAGAATACGATGCGTGAAAGCTTCGGTAATTGAATGACTAATGAAGGTAATAAAATGAAAGCTTCGGTAAAAGTTTGCTCAACTTTAATTGCTTCTCCTATTTACATTCCTTAAATTCTTTACTCAAGGTAATTGTAGTTCAAATATTTGAAAGCAGAAACCAGCTAGGATCGTAGAAGTTGCTACCAAGTCCACATACTATTCAACTCAAACTTACAGTGCACCACATTAGAATAATAAAAGTATCAGAAACTGATTTACAAGCTAAACCAACTAATTATTCAATTCCAACAAAGAACAGGTGGGAACAGATTCAAAGAAGTTTTAGAATCTAAGAGAGGGTCACTGCAAGAAAATGAAAGGAAGAATGTGCCAACAGAAATGCTAAGCTATCGAAAAAACTACCGAGGAGACAAGGTGTGATTTATAAGTTATTCACATCATCTGATCTAGCTATGCATAAAGAGCATATACACATCAACAGTATCCCCAGAGCAACTACAGGCAAACCCCAAGATGAAAACTTAATGCCTGAAAGTAAAAGTTATTGGGGGGATTGCAGTTGGTCAAAACATTTCTTTTTGGGCAAAATACAAAAGGGTTTAGACACAAATATTGATATTTCTATCCAAATTAAAGAAGCATTGATGGTTTTATTCAGCTTCCTTAAACATAGAGATCGGTGTCCTAGAAATCAGACTTCAAAATCATTTTCTAACAAGTCAACTTCTCTTTTCCCTTCTCTTGTTCACACCTAACATCTCCACAGAATAACACAAGCAAACTCTCTTCCAAATCTTCCCGGTTGAGTTCAAAGAAGATGTTAACATTGCCTCTTCATTCGTAGCGATTTTGACAATCATGGCAGAAAGCCAATTCATCAGATTGAAGAAACTGCAAAGTTCACCACAAGAATACCAAAATCTGAAGGCTTGACATTGGTGGATTTAAAAAACTGTCAAGAGCACCAAACACGACTTGCTTGTCTTCTTCTCCACCTGGTAGTAGCCATGGTCGGCCTTATGAAATAGAAGAATACTTCTACTACAAATTGACTCATGAAGAAGTATTGAAACTAAATGTCCGAAGACTCAATAGACTTAAAAGGAGCGGACTAAATTGTACAAGAACGTTCCCAAGACTTTTGTTTTAGCCCTGGAAATGAACTCTATAGTCGACTTTTTCGAAATCAACATCCATATATATTCATAAATCTAGATAAAATTATCAATATTGTTGAGTTTAGAATAAAAATACCTCTATATTGTGAATAACCCAAATACAAAATCTCTTGATCCCTTCTCAGGATCTTGGGTTGTCTCTTATAATAATTTCTACTAAGTCACTATTCCACCCATGATATCAAATTTTCAAATTCAGCATAAGCACCCTTTTCAAGGCAAATAATCAGCAAGCAACCATTCCTGGGTCTAATTCATCTTCTTCATAACACTTCTCCAAAGAACATACTTTTGAACGAACGAAGCATATTCTTTCTGGGACGACAAAGGGGGAAACATACAGAACTACTGAGAATATATTGCAGTCTAATTTAGAAGCATAGAGCCCAACTAAATAATTTCAATTGCATGCAATTTTGCTTCAATTAAAATGAAAAAAAAAAAGTTTAAGCAAAGAGAATCACCACAAGAAATCAAAATTAGAACAAAAAATGTATAGAAAACAATTGACTCACAATCGCAGAAGGGGTGCAAAACAGCAGTCTTCTTGAAAGTTTCAGCTGTCGAAATGCTGCTGATTAGTGAGTGGAGACGATTAAAATAAGCATCTGCCGCATAACGGATTCTACCCGCTAAAGATCCGATATCCCATGGACTCTAAATGGTTTTTTATTGTATTAGTTTATATGCAAAAAGCCAAAAATTTTTAATTTACTGCTTATATGGTATAATTTGGATACATATATTATGTAACATTATCACGGTGGCTTTGTTTGGAAGACAAGTTTTTTACCCAGTTTATCTGCTACAAGTTTTTTAAAAATTTTAGCTACAATAACCTCAAAAAACTTTTCAAAGTTTTTAAACTATACACTTCAAAATATTTAAAAAAAATACACTTCAATTTTTTTTTTTTAAACTTCTACAGTAAGTTACAGTAAAATTTTAGACAACCGCCTAAAAAAGTCACTTGTCAAATGAGTAAAATTAGATATTTGCTGCACATGCCATGTGTGATTGTGGCTAATACAATTTAACACAAGTAAATTTAACATATACTTATGCGTCAAACTTGCGTGTATTGATTGATGTTAAAAATATATAGAAAATTTACTCGTTTATTTTGAAAGTTTAAATAGTTTCTCTCTCACTTTACTTTTTGGTAAATATGGGGCATGAAAGATCACTAAAGGTGATAGTTTGAAACAATAAAATGACTAAATCTATCAAAAGCTCGAATACTAAGAATAAATAGCATGAATCATATGATATCTTTTGTATAGGACATATAGAATAGTAATTTGAATTTACACTTAATCAGAAAATATGCAAAATAAACTCTTTTTTACAAAAGAAAAAAAAATTCCATGATGCACCACTTGTATCTAGTTTGATTTAGATGTACCAATTTTGGATTGCTATCATTATTTGGAGATGTTACCTGCAAATATAGCTTACACATAAAAAAAGAATGAAAAATACTACTAAATATAGTAACAATATAAAATCTTTTGATCAGAATGAGAAATGAAAAAAGTGTACTCTCCTCTAGTAACTATTTCTTCTTTTCTTTTTGGAAATAGAACATTTGTCCTCAAAAATGTTAAAGAACAGCATACTCCTAGTTAGGGATGTACTCGAGTCAAGTCGAGCTCGAGTATTACTATACTCGAACTCGACTCGACCTATATGTAACTAGACTCGAGCTTGCTCGAGCCTAAAAATCGTAACTCGATGCTTGACTCGAGGAAATTCTTTTTAGCTCGAAACTCGACTCGATAAGGTTCGACCAAAGGTCAGGCCTTATCAAGTCGAGTATAATCAAACTTTTTGACTCGACTCGAAAAACGTACACTTGTAAATTCAGTATAAATTATACCTATAATGGTCATTTTATAATTTTAATACATATATATTAATTAAATATATCGTTACTCGTCCAGCCACAAGCCGCAAATTCCTGACTCGAACTCGACTCAAAAGTATATTCGAGTAGCTCGAAACTCGGCTCGAACTCGATTTGATTGAGTTCAAGCCAAGTCGTTGACCGAGCTACTCGCGAGCTACTCGATAGTGGCTCGACTCGCTTACATCCTTACTCCTAGTACTCCGCCCCGAAAGACCAAAATCATATACTACTTTCCTTCCCAAAAACTAGTTATATATTTTTTTTGTTAAGGAATTAATGTTTTTTCTTGTATTAATTTTTAGGGAAGCAATAAGTCTAAAGTAATCCATCTTTTTCTATACTCTCTATTTTTCTATTTAAATAAAACCAATAATAAAGCGAAAGAAAAGATGAACAATTACCAAACTCGTAACATAACCCAAACCCAAACCCATACCCAAACCCGAAACCTCTGCTTTACTTCTCCATCACTATATATATGGGATGAGGGGCATGAGCGATCATCAGATGGACCGCTCCTGAGCTGTTAACGGTCAAGATTTGGTTCTAAAAAATTGTACGGTCCAAATCATTTCTTGTACCTTATTTTTAACAATATGTGTGAGATCCACAAAAATTTGTTCTAAAGTTACACGTTATGCAAATAAAATTATGCCGTGTGAAAATAAAGTTATGTGGTGTGCAAAAGGAAAAATGGCCAATTTAGTCCCTATGCTTTCATACTTGTGCCGATTTAGTCCCTTTATTTTATTCTTGGCCAATTAGATACCTTAATTTAAGATGTAAGTCCAATTGAGACCCTTCACGGCGGCGCCACCAGGAAATGTCAAGCAGGAGTGAAATTGACCACATAGAGAGGGCTACTTTCGGAATATCACTTATGGGGCTTTAATAAAGCCAACTAATTCATACGGTAACAAAACTAAAATAAAAGTGAGGAGCTTTCATTGTTCAAAATTTCCCTCACCTACTCCTCCGCCACCGACCACCACCGCTCTTCAAAATGTAGACACGCGTAACTATAGTATCAAAATCCTTCCCATTAGGCCAAAAAATATCCTGCCCTCCTTGAGGTCTGAGCTGAGTCCCTGTTCAAAGTTTCCCCCACCTACCACCACTATTCCCAGCATCATAAAGAGATTCAAAACCAAGTAAAAGAAAAAAGAAACAAAAAAAAGGGACAAGTTGGAGAAACTAAAAATGGCTTCATCCTCATTTGGCGAGAGATTAAAAATTGGCAGAGCCCAAATGAGCCGAATCATAAGCTCAAAGATGAAGGAAATTCTCCAAGCCCCAACTCCCAAATCTAAGATGATAGATGAGGCTGCCTTGGAGACAATGGAAGAACCCAACTTGGAGACGAGGATCATAAGCTCAAAGATGAAGGAAATTCTCCAAGACCCAACTCCCTAATCTAAGATGGTAGACGAGCTACCTTGGAGACAATGGAAAAACTCAACTTGGAGACGAGGTTGCATGTTACTACTATGTTTTTTTGCATCTTCTTTTGGGTGTTTTCTACTCTCGGGGATGTGAAAGTTTCTACCTTATGAATTAGTTGGCTTTATTAAAGCCTCATAAGTGATATTTCGAAATTAGCCTTCTCTATGTGATCAATTTCACTTCCGCTTGACATTTCCTGGTGGCGTCGCCATGAAAGGCCTCAATTGGACTTGCATCTTAAGTTAAGGTATCTAATTGGCCAAGAATAAAATAAAGGGACTAAATTGGCACAAGTATGAAAGTATAGGGACTAAATTGGCCATTTCCCCTGTGCAAAATACATAAAACCGCTAGGAACGGTTGCTAACGTTCCTGCCCGTGGTCCCTGTATATATTCACCGGCCAGCGGGGGTTTTTCGGTCATTTTGACTCAGAAGAAGAGCTACTTCATCACTGACACCAGCCTCAGCTTTCGCGCTCCCCAATTGTCGCCGGACAGGGCCGTAATTTCCCAATTAAAAACCCTCGAATTCTTCCATAGCTATTGGAAACAAAATTAGCTACAATTAATTACGAAGGCCGAATAATGGAGAAAAAATACGGATTGCAACTTCGGGTGAAACCCTCGCAACAAAAGAAACTTCCTCCTAGACCTCCTCTTCCCAAGTCCCTCGGCTTTCGCGACGACGACGACGACGATAACCGCGTTGAAGCTGAAATTTCGCGGCAAGCCTACAAAAACAAGTCTCTTAGAGATGTGAGTATTGTAATTAGAATTTTTTTTTTTTAAATTTGTTTTGAAGCTTTTCCTTTTATTTTTTCCCTGAATTTTATGAATTCTTTGGGAACTGAAGGTTGAGGAGCAGTATAAGAAGGCATTGGAAGAGGATCCCTCGGCGTTTGATTATGATGGAGTTTATGATCAAATGAAGCATGAAGTTGCTCGTCCTGTTGCCAATGATCGGCAGGAAAGGAAGGTAATTTTTTTCACTGTTATGAAGTTTTTACCTTTTTCTTGTTGGCTTTGATTTTCTATTTAATTGCTTAATCTGAGTGATTAATGCTCTAAATTAGCTCCAAATTTCTGGTGGTTTGGTGGAAGTTGGAATTCAAGTGATTATATGTTGTTTAAGGAGCATTCATAGTGAAGCATTTTGATTATTTTGTGGTTATTTTAATAGCAGTAATTTGTGGGGAAGAACTGCCAAGTAAGATAATCTTGGTTACTCGTGATCTCAACTAAGCAAAAGAACATGAAAGTTTGTGCTAGTTCTTGAATATTAAGAATAGTGTGAAGTTGCCCATGTTTGATTTCGGGAACTAGCAGTTGCTTTTCATGGACGTGATCAAGTGCAAGGCTGTTTAAATAAGGTAGGGACTAGTGTTGAAGAAGGTAGTTGAAGAGTTCAGATTAATGCCCTATCTCATTCTCGCAAGCATCTAGCCAAGGTAGTTTGCACAGTAGAATAAAGAAATAATGTCTGCAACCAAATGATCCATGGGCCTATAAATTCTATTATATAAGCGAGGCACTCCCCTGCAGCCTGCCAACAAGATGTTAAGATGAGCTAGTGCTTTAATAGTTTGCATGGAAATGCTAAATAGAACTTTAGTAATCCACTGGATGAGTTAAATTTTACTATTTACTCTTGGGCTGGCAAAAATTACAACCATCTAGAGCACCCAAGGTGATACATTAAGGAGAATGACAAATTGTGCCTCTGTACATAAGGGAGCGAATTCCCCCTCCACATGGTATTTGTTTTCCAGGGGGTGAGTTGGGGTGTAGCATGTGAGTAAACATTGGATTAAACTGAGTAATATTTCACTTTACCGCAAGCGGTTACTTACCTTTTGATATTCTCTTTTTAGCATCTTTACTCTTCTGTTCAACATTGCCAATAGATCAAGGAGAAGCAAGCAGAATACTAAAAGAGCAAATATTACACCCCAGTATTCAGTGTGAGGATCATGTGGAGGTGATGAGACGGAGAGTATTGAGGGAGTGGGAACATAAAATATACTACATGATCATCTATCGTCTCTGTTTTGCCTGCATTTGTGCTCTTCTGCAGCCACATGAATGTATCTGGAATAAATTTATGTGAATAAATATTTTGCTTCTGCTGAAAGTAAGAAGAATTTAGTAGTAGCATTAGTGATTTTCTACTTGCTTATGGAGCCGCCTTGTTTATGAATATGTGATGATTAGAGATATTAAAAACTGTATTTCCATCTATTATTTTTTTTCCTTCAAAAGAAATAAGGCCTTTATAAGGTTTTGTCTCCTTTCCTAGATGTTATTGTGTATGTATTGTTTTCCATTCGTCTCAGTTTTTTCTTCCCCAACTAATACTCAAATTTG